GGAGATTTAAGTCACATTTGGCCAAACTCTGGGGGTATTGGAGAAACTGTCTTTACAGAGTTGTGTAGTGTATGTTTGCCTGTTTTGTGTCTGTTTGTGTTTGTGTGTGCTATGGACTCTTTGTGTGTCTGAATAAAAGTTTAGATAAAAGCCTTGCATCAGTTCTTCAAATAAGTCTAAATGGATTAAAAAAAAAAAACCCTTGATTCATGTGATTAAAACCTCATACACTGGAAAAAAATTCCATGAAAAAATAGGAAAATAAGTAAAATTAAGAAAATTCATCTGCCAAAAGAAGAAGAAAGACAACATTTCTGAAAATAAGAAATTAATACTAGTCCCAAATGGCTTGATTCTAGAATTAAAAAAAAAAAACATAAATTTCAAGTATTATTGAAATTTTTCGTAACATTTTTTGAGCCATTCCTTTTAAAAATATAGCATAACACACTTATTTTATCTGAACAAGAAAAGTTGCTTTGAAATAGAGAAAAAGACTTAAAACAAGCATAAAAACTCACAGCACAGACTTTTTTTTCCTCTAATAAGATTATGAAGTATTATTGACTAAAAAACAGTAAAATAATCTTACGTAACAAACTACATTCAAGCAAAAAAAAAAAAAATGCTATTACATTTTTTTTTTTTAGTAAACAAATGACCCAGACTTTTTTTTCAGTGTGTGTGTGTGTGTCTGTGTGTGTGTGTGTGTGTCTGCTTGTGTGCGTGTATAGGTGTGTGTGTGCATGTGTGTATCTATAAGCATATGTATATAGGTATGTGTGTGTGTGTCTGTGTGTATGCGTGTGTAGGTGTGTGCGTGTGTAAGTGTGTTTATGTGTAGGTGTGTGTGTCTGTTTGTGTGCGTGTATAGGTGTGTGTCTGCATGTGTGTGTGTGTGTGTGTGCGCGTGTGTGTGTATCCATAAGCATATGTATATAGGTATGTGTGTGTGTGTGTCCGTGTGTATGCGTGTGTAGGTGTGTGCGTGTGTGTGTGTGTGTGTTTATGTGTGTGTGTTTATGTGTAGGTGTGTGTGTCCGTTTGTGTGCGTGTATAGGTGTGTGTCTGCATGTGTGTGTGTGCGTGTGTGTGTAACCATGAGCATATGTACAGTGCCTTGCGAAAGTATTTGGCCCCTTGAACCTTTCAACATTTCGCCACATTTCAGGCTTCAAACATAAAGATATAAAATTTTAATTTTTTGTCATGAATCAACAAGTGGGACACAATCGTGAAGTGGAACGAAATGTATTGGATAATTTAAACTTTACAAATAAAAAACTGAAAAGTGGGGCGTGCAATATTATTCGGCCCCTTTACTTTCAGTGCAGCAAACTCAGTCCAGAAGTTCAGTGAGGATCTTTGAATGATCCAATGTTGTCCTAAATGACTGATGATGATAAATAGAATGCATCTGTGTGTAATCAAGTCTCCGTATAAATGCACCTGCTCTTTGATAGTCTCAGGGTTCTGTTTAAAGCTCAGAGAGAACCATGAAGACAAAGGAACACACCAGGCAGGTCCGAGATACTGTTGTGGAGAAGTTTAAAGCCGGATTTGGATACAAAAAGATTTCCCAAGCTTTAAACATCTCAAGGAGCACTGTGCAAGCAATTATATTGAAATGGAAGGAGTATCAGACCACTGCAAATCTACCAAGACCCGGCCGTCCCTCCAAACTTTCATCTCAAACAAGGAGAAGACTGATCAGAGATGCAGCCAAGAGGCCCATGATCACTCTGGATGAACTGCAGATAACTACAGCTGAGGTGGGAGAGTCTGTCCATAGGACAACAATCAGTCAGGCACTGCACAAATCTGGCCTTTATGGAAGAGTGGCAAGAAGAAAGCCATTTCTCAAAGATATCCATAAAAAGTCTCGTTTAAAGTTAGCCACAAGCCACCTGGGAGACACACCAAACATGTGAAAGAAGGTGCTCTGGTCAGATGAAACCAAAATCAAACTTTTTGGCCACAATGCAAAACGATATGTTTGGCGTAAAAGCAACACAGCTCATCACCCTGAACACACCATCCCCACTGTCAAACATGGTGGTGGCAGCATCATGCTTTGGGCCTGCTTTTCTTCAGCAGGGTCAGGGAAGATGGCTAAAATTGATGGGAAGATGGATGGAGCCAAATACAGGACCATTCTGTAAGAAAACCTGTTGGAGTCTGCAAAAGACCTGAGACTGGGACGGAGATTTATCTTCCAACAAGACAATGATCCAAAACATAAAGCCAAATCTACAATGGAATGGTTCACAAATAGACGTATCCAGGTGTTAGAATGGCCAAGTCAAAGTCCAGACCTGAATCCAATTGAGAATCTGTGGAAAGAGCTGAAGACTGCTGTTCACAAACGCTCTTCCAGCTGTTTTGCAAGGAAGAATGGGAAAGAATTCCAGTCTCTCGATGTGCAAAACTGATAGAGACATACCACAAGCGACTTGCAGCTATAATTGCAGCAAAAGGGGGTATTACGATACAAAGTATTAGCGCAAGGGGGCCAAATAATATTGCACGCCCCACTTTTCAGTTTTTTATTTGTTAAAAAACTTTAAATTATCCAATAAATTTTGTTCCACTTCACGATTGTGTCCCACTTGTTGTCGATTCTTGACAAAAAAATTTATTTTTATATCTTTATGTTTGAAGCGAAATGTTGAAAGGTTCAAGGGGGCCGAATATTTCGCAAGGCACTGTATGTGTGTGTGTCTATGTGTATGAGTGTGTGCGTGTGTAGGTGTGTGTGTGTGTGTGTATACATGTGTGTGTGTGCATGTGTAGGTGTGTAGGTGCGTGTGTTTATGCGTGTGTGTGTTGGTGTGCGTGTGTGTCTTTGTGTGTGTATCTAAAAGCATATGCATATAGGTACTGTATGTGTGTGTGTGTCTGTGTTTATGCGTGTGTAGGTGTATGCTTGTGTAGGTGCGTGCATTTATGTGTGTGTGTGTAGGTGTGCATGTTTGTGTGTGTGTATCTATAAGCATGTGTACTGTATGTGTGTATGCATCAGTGATGGGAATAACGGCGTTACTAGTAACGGCGTTACTAACGCCGTTACTTTTTTCAGTAACGAGTAATCTAACTAATTACTTTGACAGTAACTATAACGCCGTTATCATTTCCGACATCCCGTTACTGCGCGTTACTCAAGACGCACAATGAACGTGTTGTCATGAGAGAAGGGAGGATGAGAAAACCTCTCAGCAATTATTGGCTGATGTAAATCATATTTCTTTACAATCTACATGTCTACAGTTGAGAGGATGGCTCATAAATTGTGTTTTTGAAACAAATATGGGTCTTAATCGCGCTCAACCACGGCTTGTATCACCGTGAGGTCAGCCACAGAGGCGCGTATGTCAGCGCAGAAGTCGGCTGCATACAATTCCATCGATAAGCTCCTTGCTCGTCCTGGTTTATCTGCTAAGGACAGCAACAGGTTTGGCTAACATACATATAACACATTTTTAAATAATCTAAAATGCACATAGGGTAATTGTTCAATTACTATAGGAATGATAAGAAAGAGAGGTGAAGTGTAAGACGGTTGATTTTAGAAATTGGATGCACTCGGCTGCCGCAAAACACAGGAGTTTATGGAGGACACACGCGTTTTGTTTTACTTTTTAAAACTCATTGGACTCATTTCCAAATGGAGGATTACATATCTACACTCAAACCATTCACTGGATTTAAACAAGGAACTGGTCTGAACCGAAGTGGACTGTGCAGGTCATTTATAAGGTAAGACCCATAACTCATAGTTTTGCGTTTTGTATGAACAAACAATGCGGGCATAAAACATATTTTGCTGTAGCCAAACAAATTGTCCACTTGATTTATATGATGTATATGTTCATCTGATTGGACTGAAGTCAGTGCTTCACCAGCCTCACCGCTCGTCACCGGTGTTTCCACATTCACAGTGGCGGGCTTTACAGCACAGAGAGAGATGAAGAGTGAACAGGACTACAGCAGCAAAACAGCCTTTTTCTAGATGGAAATATTGGCACTGTTAAAGGTAAAAATGCGCACGTCGGGTGCACATTATGTTCCAGAACAAAACGAAAAAGTAACGCAATAGTTACTTTTACTGGTAACTAGTTACTTTTATAGTGGAGTAACTCCGTTAGTAACTCAGTTACTTTTTGGGAGAAGTAACTAGTAACTATAACTAATTACTTTTTCAAAGTAACGTGCCCAACACTGGTATGCATGTATGTGTGTGCGTGTGTGTTTGTGTGTTTTATACACATAGCAACACTGTCAAATGTACCCCACACGTGTGAAGTGTCTCAGAAGGAGCAGTGCAGCTAAACACAGAGCGGAGGCCAAACCAGCTCGACACCACAATTTCACTACTGCGCATTCTGCTGTTAAGGAAATCACTTACATTTACACAAAACGACACACAAATTGCTTTCATTCTCTCTGGCAGGAACTCAGAAGAGCTTTGTGCCAGTTTTTCTTAAGCCAAATGCCAGATAGCACTTTTACTCGTGCGACAAGAGAACGAGCATTTATCCATTGTTTAAACAGCTGCACAGAGACACACAAAACTTTATCTCATCTATCATTCATGCGGGTAAAGCTGGGGTACCTAATCTTTTGTTGTCGTTTCAAAAATACTTGTGTTTGTCCCAACAGGAAGAGTCAAATCAGACCACATGATTCTTTCTCTGTTAGAAATCATGTGATGTTGTGTGTACACTGAGAGCTGATTGGCTGAGAGCTACAAAAATATATTCTTTGTGTTTCGGGATGTTTTTAGATATGTATTTTTATTTTGTATTCTATCAACATTTTATGACACACACTGCAGGATGTAATGTCAACAATCAATGAAATAAAATCGAATCAAATCGACCACTTGATTCTAGACATTTTTACCAAATTTGTTTTACTATTTTGCAGTGATAGTCTTTCATGATCGTGTGTGTGTTCAAAGTGAGGTACCCCAGGGTTCCCAGCGAGCCGTGCAGACTTACCTAGACACTCGTTGGCCTCCCTGGCGCTCGCCCGCTGCCAGGGCCGGTCGTAGTGAAAGGGCTTGCAGCGGTCGCACTCGGGCCCCTCTGTGTTGTGTTTGCAGTCGCACACCAGCTTCCCCTCCTTGTCCTTCAAACACCGGGACGCGTGGCCGTTGCACTTACACCTCCCTCCGACTTGGAAGTCTCCCACCGCGTAGAAGTAAGTGGCCATGGTGGACGCCGCAGCTGCTGCCGCCACCGGCTCGTCCTCGCGCGCGCCGTTGTTGATACTGCTCAAGCTGTGGTCCCGGGGCAGCTGCGGCCGGTTGAACACCACCCGGATGTCTGTGACCGTGACCCAGTCCTGCAGCACGGGGCTACTGTCAAAGTCTTTCCCCGAGGGACGGCCATCCAGGGTGCTGAAGGCGATGAGGCCGCCGGAGTGCGCGTGCAGCTCGGTGTGGCTGTCCGTGCACACCGCCTCCTGCTCGTTCTGCTTTGTGATGGTCGCTCGATTCGGTTTGTTGAAAAGACGGCGACACTGCGACGAGTAGAACTGGTACGGCGTCCAGGTTTTGCCGTAGTCCATGCTCTTGTAGATGGCCATGGACTCGGGACGCGGCGAGCAGAATTGCAAACTGACGTACGTGATCTCGAACTTCTTCCCCAGAGACAGAGTGAGCGTGACGTTGTGCGGCGAGGTGTTGAAGTTCTCCGACTGCCAGCAGGTCAAGTTCAAGGCCGAGTTCAAGTCCGTGAGGTAAGAGGGCGGGTGGGCGCGGCGGGAGTCGGCGGCGTCGCAGATCTGACACGTGCGAACGGAGGGCCGCTCGTCGCCGCGCTCCACCAGGCTGCAGGAGCGCGACGGGGGCCGGCCGCACACGCTGGACACCGCCACATCTTTGCCAAACGCCGCGTTGATGAACTCCGGGATGCAGCGGCGCGCAGTTCCGCTGTCGTCGTAGCACGGGTCAAGAGGGGCCTGCTGTCCGGCGAACGGGTTGATGGCGCTGAAGCTGAAGGCAGAGCACGCCAGCAGGCTCAGTGCCACAACGCCTCTCCAGGGATCCCTCATCCTGCTCCAGGGGCCCGCGGCTCCGTCCGAGATCCTGTCGCTGTTGGAGTCGATGTGGTTGGTGCTCGGTGTGACCTCCTTCGGGGCGAGCACTGTCGGCCTGTGGATGGAAACAGAGAGAGGTTATTCAGAGAAATATACACACATGACGTTATCTCAGATTCAGATTTTATATAATAACTTTTACATAATGTCAGAATGTGAAATATAGAACCACTGTCACTGTCGCTGTGTCCCAGACCCTCCAGCTGCTAATCTACAGATGTAAACATACAACTACATAATATACAGGATTTTTTCTTGCTTCTCTATTATTCAAAATATAGATAATGTATACATGCTTCTTTATTATGCTAAAGTTATGGATTTTATTTCATGTTTGTAAGTAAGTAAGTAAGTAAGTAATCTTTAGTAATCTTTATTTATATACCGCCTTTTCACTGCACATTGGAGTCTCAAAGCGGTTTACAATTGTTATTTTTGGGAGTGGGGGTGCCAGTACATGGAGGCACATGCCAGACCTATTGTACATATTTTTAGTGGTAGGGGAAACCGGAGCACCCGGAGGAAACCTACACAGACACGGGGAGAACATGCAAACTCCACTCAGAAAGGCCCTGGTCCAACCGGGATTCGAACCCAGGACCTTCTTGCTGAGAGGCGAGAGTGCTATCCACTCAGCCACCGTGCCGTTTGTATATGGTTATTGTTGCACTTATTTGCAGTGTGCTCCTCATTCCTACTGGTCTGTCACTGCTGATACAAAACTGAAATTCCCCACTGTGGTACGACAAAAGAATCTGTTCATCTAAATGTTATATTCATAAAATCTTATTGACCCCAAAGGGAAATAGATTTTCAGAAGAATCTTAGGCCCAGTTTAGTCTGAGATGCTGCAAGACAATTTTAAAAAAACGACCAGGCTCCGTTTTCGAAGTGCAGAGCTTTTACACAGTCGGAAAACAATGCAGTTCTAGCGCCCGGCCAGTAGGGGGCAGTAGAGCTTTACAGCACGACACCCAGCAGTTTGATCACTTCCTCAACAACATCCTCCTCAGGCCGCCGCAAAGACGTGAAAGAATGCACCACTGAAAACACCGTCTTTGTATGAGCGAAAGGCCAATCCAATACCCAACTCTGCAAAAACACACACACACACAAATGTACACACATGCACGCACACACACACACACACACACACACTTTACACAAACACACTGACTCTACACATACAGTACAGTCAGTTACAATATAAGTTAATTAAAACTATAGGATATAATACACAACAATTTCCAAAGGTCAAACACACAAGCTGAGTCACCATGGCAAAGTCAGCGATCAGAGGATGTTTTGAGCCAGAACACACTTTGCTTCATCCAGCACCTGTTCCTCCCACAGAGAGTGAAGGTCACAATTCTCTGCAACTTGTTTTTGTCCTTCAGCCTCAAGAATTGGAACCAACAGATAAAAGAAAAACAGAGAAGGCTTTCGAGATTAAATACAGTAAAAGTTTTTGGGAATTGTCTGAGGCCTTCTCTGATAAATCACTTTAATCCCATACCTCTGGTCACTTATTGATAATCTACACTGTTAAACGTCTATTGTGTGTGTTTGTGTATCCAAAGTCTATCAAGAGGTTGTTTCAATGCATGGCTTTATATATATTATTTTTTGTTTTTTAATAACTTGTCTGCATTGTATCGCAAATATCTAGTTAGTGGCTTCCTGTTGCCTACAATGGAAGTCACAAATGAATATTAGAACACACTTGGAGAAGACTGTATATATCTAGTCTGCTGTGTGTGATTAATACGATTTAATGTTACGATCTTTGGAGTCGTCATTAAACTGTGCAGGGACCATAGATGAAAAAGAATGAGGCTGAAACCTGGAAACAAATGCATTAAATTCATATAAGAGTACAACAAATGCACAGACATGTTCGTTAACAGAGGGATAAAAAGTCACAAATGTTTAACGCCAGATACTGCACATCCTGACTCTCCAACCTGTAGCTCGGGGCAGTAATATCTCTCCATCCTCGTAAAACATAAAAAAATGAATACTTTTTGCAGTAATAAATGATGATTGATTGTTTGGCTGCATGATACTGGGAAATAGAGCGATAATCGATATGAGTGTTTAGTATTGCGATCACGATATTATTGCAATATTTTTGTCTTTCACCTAAAATTGCAATCTGCATTGAAACGAAAGAGACAAATAACAACAAAAACACAACATTAATGACACATATGACATGCATATATTTATATATGTTGTTGCTGTTTGTTTGTTTTTTGTTCTTGTTGAATGTTGATGTGTCTGTCTGTTTTGTTGTCTTTAATAAAGGGAAAAATAACCAATAACGCACGAACCATAATCGCAAAAACCATTATCGCAGAAACCAAATTGCGATAACAATATTTTTTCAATATATCGTGCAGCCCTGATTGATTTTTTTAAGGGTGAAACTAGCTCTATACAACAACAAAAATCTAAAAAAAGATAGAAATTGTCTAACGTTTGATGAGAGAATATTTTTACGGTCTTAAAACAAAATTTTCCAAAGAAACAAGAAATACATTCGTTATAACTGAGCTCGAAATAAGACTAAAGCTGGTTGAAAATGGAAAATGGACTTAATTCCTCGTAGCTAGCTTTGGCTCTTGATGCAAACAAATAAAAAATAGAACAAGGCATGCCTTACAAAACAAAACAAAATGGACATTACATTTCTTTAACATACAAGTAGAATAAGTGCACTTAAAATTATTTCTCTGCCACTTTTGCCTTTAAAAAAAGTAGCTCTCTCTGGGAAAAGGTGGGAGACTGCTGCTGTACATGTTCAAAGGCAGACGGCGGATCGGTGGAACTGAGAACACAGAACAAATACATGACTCTTTACAGTGTTTTTGAAAAGTGTTTGAGGGTTACTTTGGGTTTCCTCTGGTTCTATGGCCGCTCCCGAACTGCTCCAAACACCAGCTCCAGACCCTCCTGTATTTGATCATACGTTATAAGCTATCGTAAAATGGCGTGGTTCTGGCAGGTCAGGAGAAGAAGACTTTGGAAGATTTGGCTCATTCCTCTGTCAAAGACCCGGAGGAGGCTGTGTCTTTACTCAGTGCAATGAACGAAGCCAGATATAACTTAAATGTATGATTAAAGGAGACGAATTAAGCACATTGTTTAGCTCCATCCACAAAAATAACACACACTTCTGGCAAAAAAAACAAACAAACATGTAGCTCCGCCCCTTCTGTCTAAAAGCTCCAGTCTCAGTCCTGTATGATGCTATTGTACCACCATGACATCACACTCTGGGCCGTTTTCTACTTTTTTTAAAACAAAATTATTGCCCATAAAGGAGTTTTGGTGATTTCTCAGGTGAAATTGCGTTTTTTTTTTTTTTGGTACAATCACTGTAATTTTCAAACTTGGAGAGACAAGAATAACTCACTCCTCCCTCTGGTGGCAGCATAAGGAGTTACAGGCAGAACGTATTTTCCCGATATCATTTCTCATTCTACTACAAGGAATAACAAAGTAAATAGTTTATGAATCTGTACATCTGATATTATTTCAAATTATGGTGCATATGCTCGACAGGTCAGGCCGGTAGTGTTCGTTAGTCCTCATTGTTTGTCGTACAGTCTGACAGCAGCAGAAAGGCACAATGGAAATGAACCTGACAGACAGAACAGAGGAGAGTTGAGTCTGAGACGCAGTAAGAAAATGGGGAGAGATCTTCTTAAAGACAAGTTCTCGAGGTCCATGAAGTTAGATGAGTTTCAAAGCAGGGAAGAGAATAAGACAATCTAAAGCCCAAAGGAAAAAGAAGGACAAGTTTTTGACAGTGATGGAGGTGGAGGAGAGGAGCAAGGGACAAGAAGCTGCTCGTATCTGACTAAATAAGGAGCGTTCCGTCTGCTGCGGGAGAGCACGAAGCCTGAACAGACACAGAACAGTGACATGTTTAATACCCAAATACTCTTCTGGAAATCTGCTTGGATAAAACACAACTCCTGTCTCCGGTAAGACCGCTGTATGTTTGTGGAAGTCGTCCAGGAGGTCAGGAGGTGGAGTTACGTGACCGTGCAAACACTGAGGCTCTGAATCAGCAAGAAAAGTCTTTAACAAGCCACAAGTCTCCTCCGAGGGGCACATTGTCTTTCATTAACTGTGGTTCAAGTAGCGGCAGCTTCGGGCCTTTGGGTTTCTACGAGAACAAGACGAGTGCAGGGAAAATATGGGAACAATTCTGGAAAATTCCCCCGTGAAGTTCAAGCATAGTTTAATCAATACTGGAGCTCCGTTAACAGGTGGGAGGGGTTAACTCCTTTTGCAGATTAAAACCATTGGATCTGAGTTTACCGTGACGTATGTAATGTGCTGTGTGAGTGAGTGAGGCATTTAACCTAGCTTTAGCCATCTTCTTTGCCGCTAACGGAGCCCATGGGGAGTAGAGCCACAATACCTTTGCAGCAACGACATTTGCTAAACATTCCTCTTGCTCCGGCTTCAATTTCTTGATATTTGGAGCCGAACCAGAACAGATTACTTTACTATCGCATTCTCTGCCATTATCAAACTACAACCAGCAAGCTTTTGATGTCACCAACACCTACCTACAACACCCGCCTCCCCCGCTCGCTGAGGATCCAGATTTACATGTAGGAAATGAGACCTGACCAGAGTTTACGGGTGACTAAGGCTAAGACAATACAATTATAATTCTTTATAATTGAAGAAGACATAGAGAGAGCTTGCGTTGTCTATAGTAATAAAATATGATAAGCATACATTTTTCATACATTTGAGATCTCAATATTGATCTCTGACTCCTACATTAATTGTCATCATCGTTACTTCAGCTGTAGTCTGTTCACTGCTATTCACCTGCTGTCTCATTGTCTGTTTCTCTCACAAGGGTTTTGCAGTTGCTCCTTGCCAATGCAGCAGGGTCAAAAGACAGTGGTAATCCCGGACATTTATGCGCATTTATAAGGATTAGGAGATCTCTTATTCCTCCCACAGTGGGGAATTTTCAGTGTTGCATCACCAGTTACAGAACAGTAGGAATGGGAACACAGCACA